CTTCACACTGGTTTGGTGATTGATCCCTGAGCTCAAGATCTCAGGGCTGTATGTGTCTGGGATTAAATGACAGGTTTAATCTTAATCTTGCTGTCTCTCTGGGCCTGCTCTGAGGATGCCAGTGGACAGCTGACTTGGAAAGGCTCACGTGTGGCAGTGAGGGGATGGACCAAACTTACTCTTTTATGAGTAAGTTGTCAATGAAACTCAGAACAGGTCCCTGTAGTGAGTCAGACGCAGCTTGGAAGTCTGAGTGATGAGGACGCCAATGACTTAGAGGAAGATGCTGCAGTCCACGCCAGAAAAGATTGTCCCAAACTCCATATGAATTCCAGCAGCCCTGACAGAGGCAGGCTTTACTGAGTAGTCCCCAGTGGCCTCAAAGATGGCCCTCTGCCACACCTCTGGGACTTCTTGAGCATGCCCCATTCTTACAGCCCAAGACCTGCCCAGCTCAGCCAGGCACCTCCAGCCTGGAGGGCTCAGTGGGCACAGGCCTGAAGGCTGTCTCTCTGGTGGAGTCCTGCACTGTCCCCCATGTCTGCAGCGGAGCCCGGCAAGCACGCAAGAATACTGCAGCAGGAAGACCTGGGCGGGATGATGGCAGGACCCCACTTCTCTTTGCTCACCAGGCTTTGCACATAGTAGGTGCTAGTAAATATTTGTTAAATGAATGAATCGGTGCTTTGGTGGAAGAAGCCAGCAGTGTCGTGTGATCCCAAAGGGACTTAGGAGGACTTCCCGGAGGAAGTGATATCTACACAGAGACATGGAAAACGGAGGATAGGCAGGCTAAACTGAGGTTTAATTGTCCCTAACAGGAAGAAACGACCATAGTCAGGATTTAACCCGAGGTGGCAGGAGGCCTTTCCAGATGCCAACCCAGGCTGGGAGTCAGACATCGGGTGGAAACACACAGTTCAGCCCTCTTCAGGCAGGGTGCCCCCGCGACCCTCACCTCCCCACTAGGCTTCTGTTTCTTCCACAGGGCCTACCTCACAGGATTAAATGAAACAACTGAGGTCGTGTTGCCCTCTTGGCCTCTGAACCCTTTCTTTCTCTTCGAGCCCTTTTTGGGACAGAGATCCTGCCTGAATCGCTTTGGGGGAAGTGGTGCACACAGTAGGTGCTCAGTAAAGATGCCTGGATCAAAGAACCCTGGCCTCTACTGTGAGCTGTGGCTCCCGGAGTGCCAACGCTCTACCCCAAACCCCGCCCCACTGTGAGCGCCTTAGGGGCGGGGGCGGGCCTGGACCATTGGGTTCTGTCTTCCCGGAACACAGTAGGCGCTCGTGCTCCCACCTTGGCTCCGAGGTGCTTAGAGATAGGTTGTTGGGGTGAGGTTATGCGGGATAGTAACTATTCTCTGGGTTTAACGCCGTGACCGCGGTGCGCAGGACCTGAGGTAATTGTTCCGGAGTCCCCAAAACTGAGCGCGACTGGCCGCCCACAGCGCTGGAGGCCGGGTGCGGGCGGGGCCGGCTTTTCTGTCGGAGGACGCGGCCAGCGTGCTGCGCCTTTAAGAAACCGAGCTGATCCGGGTGTCAGGCGCTGGAGCCGGGGGCGGGGCGGCACGGAC